GCAGTGGGTTTTGTTTGGGGCATTTAATATTGAGGGTCTGAATAAACTGGAAGTTTTTGTGAGTCTGATTCTCCCATCTGTTGTTTCTATTGGCTTTGGATGCTTGGATCTCTCTCTCTCTCTTTTTAATTTTGAGCATTGGTAATGAAAGTAGGTTCTTTAGAAAGGATTTATGTTTGCTCCTATCAGACTCCTGAGGGCACTAAGAATACCAAACTATTTCACACTAAACTCTTAGCTAGAGGATTACCAGGCCACCCAGGTAGGCTGAATTTACACTTCAAACTGTGGGAAGGCTGCCTGTGGCTAGAGTTCCCAGGAGACATTCTGGCCCCAAATACAGTTTCATGATTGCAGGCAGGTAATTTTCCTTGTAGTGTTCTGATGGAAGTGAAGTGATCTTACTTCCAGCTAATTCTTCAGCCACTATGGATGACGGTTTTTTGAACTCCTGAACTATATGGTGTACTCTTTACTAGAACCTCCTCCTTCTTGGGAAGACACATTAGGTTTTGTATTTTTTTTCTCATGAAAATAGTGAAGTCTTTAAAAAGAATGTTAAAATTTCCCCCATCTAGCAAAAAGTTCTTAGGGTTAAGGCTGGACTTAGTGTCCCAGCTTCTAATAGTTCAAAACTTTACTTATCCCCTGGTTTGATAATTTCTTGTTTCCTTCAAGTTCTTAAGAGAATATCAGAAAAATATATTTGTATTATATCCAAAGCTTTTAGCTGTTTTAGGTGGCATCTGTGTGAACTTCTAACTTACTGCTGCCAGAAATTGGTCCTTCCCAATAACATCTAAATTTTGTCATTCCTTCCAAATTACATATTCAATCTTTGAAATGACAGAACCTGCTTATATGATATTATGCTCTCTAAAGGACACCAAATCTGTTGAGCTATTTCAGAAACAATTATTCTAGTCAAACCCAAAGAATGTTTGAATAAATATCATTAAAGTTTTACAGATGAGAGCTTCTGAAAGTTGGACCAAGTGTGATGAATAGAGTAACGGAAAGAACCAGATTGGGAGACAGGAGACGTTGGTTCTAGTCTTAGCATCGATCTGGGTGACACTGGGTGGGCAAGACTTTCAGTGAGTCAGACCTTGGTCTCCTATCTATATAATGGAGGGACAGATAAGGAGGGCTGGTTGGTCTTTGCAGGACCAAAATCCTGTGATGGTTGCTTGCACAGAAAAATGCAGTATAAATGAAGCATACTCAAGATCAGAGTTTTTGATATTCACAACATTCCTGAAGGCTAGTCTGCTTATTCATTTTAAATATACTTTAGCATGATATTTTAAACAAGTTTATATTGTGCTGTGGTCATTTTTTTAGTTCTGAGAACTTCATTATTCCTTTTGTCCTTTTTCACAATTTGAATTCTTTTACTACAGTTACTAATACAATTTATGCAATATCTGATTTCTGTTTGAAAAAATGAACATTCAAAAGCTGCAATTGTACCATCTGCCAAGAATATATGTGAACATTTTTGAAATACCGTATAGCTATTAAAATGTACGTATATTGTAGTAATAGAGAAAAAGGAAAAACTTACTATTACTACTATAACACAAATTAAATTGTGCAAACATATTCACAGGTTTACACTATAAAGTTATGAAAAGAATATCTTTTTCAAATGTGATTAAATGCTGCAAGATGCAGGAAAAACTCAGAACTCATGTGAATTATAAGTCTGATGTCATTTTTTGGCATGACTACAGAAAATGTCACCTGAAAAAAAGAATCTCACTTAAAATAAGGGCTTGACAGCAGTCTGGGATAGGTAACAGCTTCATTCCCAAATGAGAACATTGGTTATAATCACACTCTCAATGACAATATTAGTTATCCCCCTTGAATCACTGTAAGCACTAACATAAAACAAAAACCACACACACACTTTATCTTATATCTTTATAAAGTGAAAACATTTGTAATTGTTTCAAATTTTGTCTCAAATATCGAATAGGGTTCTAATGTTTCCTTACACAGTTGTTAGTGCCCACTTGCGAATCTGAGAGGTAGCAAGTTATCAGGCAACATCAATTAAGATTATTTACTGTTTCATTGAATTAGTTGTACTGATTCATAGCATCCCTTTGTATAACAGAATGAAAACACTGCCCAGTTCTGGGCCATACTAACAATTGCTTTTATGCTTGACCCCATTGTTGCAGCCACTGTGTCAAAACATCTTGGAAAGGGGCCTTCGTTTTCACTGCCTCGCTACTTTACCAAGCATGATCTCCTTCTCCAGAGACGGGTTTCTCCTGACAACATGTCTCAGGTGCCTGAGATGGAAGGATCACCATCCTTGCCGCTAAAGAACATTCTGGCTGTACTTCTTCCAAGACAGATTTGTTCATTCTTTTGGCAGTCCACTGTACTTTCAATATTCTTTTCCAGCATCATAATTCAATGCCAGCATCATAATTCAACTGAGTTAACTCTCTTTCCGTCTTCCTTAATCAATGTCCAACTTCACATGCATATGTGGTGATTGAAAATATCATGGCTTGTGCGTGACATATCTTAGTCCTCAAAGTAAACTCCTTGCTCTTTACCACTTTAAAGAGGTCTCATGTAGCATTTTTACACAATGCAATGCATCCTTTGATCTCTTGACTGCTGCTTCTATGGGCACTGATTGAATCCAAGCAGCTGAGACCATTGACAACGTCAATCTTTGATCCATTTATCATGATGTTCCTTATTGGTCAGTTAATTAAAGGTATATGCAATTCTATTGGCAATGGAAATAGAGTCTCCGGTGTCAGGGACCCTGCATCTTATCTTATAAACTGCAGAAGTGAAAAGAGTGGAAACTTCCCATCTTCCAACTACTTCTATAGAGTCTTTATATCTATCATCATCTATGAGGGGGTACCCTAAAAAACCTAGAACCCCCCTCCAAAGTTATATATTTAAATTTCGTTTACAAAAAACAACCTATCACCTTCAAAGTACTCTCCAGTACACTTAATACATTTGTCAAATCTTCAATTT